AGGCCCGTATTTTGACGCGTTCTGTATATATATATATATGTATTCACACACACACACACACATGCTGCAGTCGCCCATTGCAGCCGCATTGTGACAATGTGTAGACATGCGTACACATGGAAAGACATACATACATGCATAAACCATGAACACGTACATATGGGGGTTGCCCTTTATTATGGTTGCAGCCTGTAACTCGAAAATTCCTCCTCGCGCTTCGCCCTTGCGCGTTCTTGCGCGCACACAGCTTGAAACACTTGCCTAGCTTGAAGCCTTTACAAGCCAAGTGACAGCAAGAAGTTTGACCAACACGCGCAACAATCAATCATAATGTCGGACTTACTACGGAACATTGCTTGTAGCAGAACCTCGTCCCACAAACCGAGTCGCAACCCAGAGGCTTTCCAACAAGCCCAGAATCGCTGGGATACGCTTCATCAGCAAAAGCAGTTTGGAGGTCGGTTTGGGCCATGGCTCACATGTGGGGGGCCCACCTTGCGCCGACCTTGCGGGGAGCTTGCGCGTTGCTTGCGCGCGATGTCCGGAATTCTACGTATTTTCCCGAGGTTCCCACGCAGGCTTGGGAGGTGCTATTCTGCAATGCTCCATGCCGAATCAGAACGACACGCGCCCACTTGGCAAATGCGGGGCAGCGGCGTTGACGGCTCGACCCTTGCCATGACTGTGCTGCTCGTCAAGTCCCCGTACTTGACTGCAGCAGCTGCGCGAGTGCAGGTGAACTCACAACCGCAAGCTTGTACAGCAACGGACTCTACACAAAGTAGACCATCTTGACCTGGGTAGCTTATACACTGCTTATTCCCTTGCGCTCGCCCTTGCGCGCGCTTGCGCCGTGCCGTGTTTGGAGCAGGTCCCAAACCTGAATCAAAATATGAAAGTGCGCTGTTAGTCGACGGTCAAGACCCAGTTGTTTAGAACAACGCTTATATATATAGAGTGAGAGAGAGAGAGTGAGATTGTTGATAGATATTGTTGTTGTTTCTCTTAAAAGAGTTATTGTTACTATGAGTATTCTGGCTATAGTGGTACCAGAATTACGAGGACTAGGATGAAGAAAAGCAAGAGCGTAAGCAAGAACAAGCGCAAAACAGACAAATGCAAAGCAGAAAAGCACGAGAGCAAAGCGTTAAAGCAGAGCAGCGGACAAGCAGAGAAGCAGAAAAGCAGAGAAGTAGAAGAGCAGAGAAGCAGAAAAGCAAAAGCAAAAACAGAGAAAAAAACGAGAAGGAAACACCGGCAGAAGGCCGAGAAGCGGAAAAGCAAAAGTGCGGAAGCACACAATGACAGCTCGTGCGCGGAAGTGAGGAAGCGCAGAAGCACAAAAGCGGACGAGACACCCCCGCCCCCCCAAGCAAAAAAAAAACCACAGGCGCGAAAAAAAAAATCCCACAAAAAATAGCCCTCCGTTCTTATTTACGCTGTTGCACTACAGCATTACGGCATTGTGCTCGCACATTACGAGAGGGCGAGTCGGGCAGCTTAGGGTTCGGCATTCGCACCGTCGGAGAGCTCTGTTGGATCTTCTCCAGAAGCAGAGAATCGTCGGCAGCCTCTAAGAGAGATTCAGGGTTTCGGGCCCCCTCAGCGGGGCTTTCTTAAGGCCTTTGTTTGTGGAGTGTGGCGCTTGGCAAATCTGTCGCTGTCAAGACCTGAGGGCAGGACAGGATCTCCGTCCACATCCTTCAGATGACATTCTGAAAGTTGCAGTCGCCAGACTCTTCAGCCCTGTAGGCGCATTACATACCTGAGAAGTACCCCAATCCTTGTCGGCTCTGGGGCACTGCGGTCCTGAAGAACCCGAAGAACCCGGTAGACGGCTGTGGTGCACCTGGCAGGCAGGCATGGGTTTTTTTGCAGATCTACCAGGGCTCAGGGTCAGGGTGGAGAAAAACGCCGGCCCGACTCCAGGACTGGACCCACGATCTGCAGCGGATGGTCCTCCCATGTTTGATTCTATGCCAAGACGGCACCCCTGCTTCCATGTAAATTTTAGATTCTCGGAGTCGGTGACTAAGGTTGTCAAGTTGTCAAGTCGAACAACTTAATCAAGTTGTCAAGTCGAACAACTTAATTCTCGCCATTCCGGACTATGTGAATCGAAAATATCCGAGCACACCTGCCTGACCTGTCTAAGAATCGGATACCTTCCTATCGTTGACTCGACATGTTGGGCTCAAAGGAGTTTCACGGATCGCAGGTCGTTCGTCAACCGTTCCGCATTATGTTCCCAAGCCACAGTTTCGGGGATAAGCCACGGGCCAATCGGGCGACAACGGAACCGGCCACATGTGGTGTTTTCTCTTCCAGCATATGCCATGTGCCATATTAACGCATGAAACATGGAGATGTGCTTGCCACTCCGAGCTCCGAAGTCCCCACAAGCCACACAAGGAGTCGGAATGGAATTTTTGAGCAGGCACTGCACTCCTCCAGACCTTCAATCTCGTCCTGCCGGGCATGACAGCAGGGGCGGTCTCATGACTGCAAAGCTCAATGCTTAGGCAACCTCTGCCCCATTTAGGGTTTAGGGTATGTCCTCATCAGGCATCTTGGTTACTGGCATTTGCGGACTTCCAGAATTGTTCAAAAAGCAGCTCGGAGCTCAGGAATTGGCCCGAAAGCAGAAGAGTGTGACACCCATACGAGGCCTCAAGGATGAGGTCAGCTCCGGTTTGCTCACTGAGTGCCGACGCCTGCAGGCTCTAGCTCCCGGAACCCTCGGAATTTACCGATGCAGGGTCAAACGATGCCACTGTTACCGAATGAGATGGCCAGATGGACCAGCGACATTTCGTATTTGCCGGCACAGGCATAACAAGAGCATTCCTTGAGGGATTTCGTCATTCCCACCGCTACTACGAAAAATCTTTGACATTCGGAATCTTGCACAAACCCTACACGGCCCTCCACTATCCTGATGTGTCTCAATAAAACACTATAGCTGATGCGACCACCTTCGTTTAGTTTTTGTTCCAGCGGTGCGTTAAGGCTTCTACAAACCTAGGGCCAACCCTATCTCGGTCCGATGGTGAGTTCACTGGCTTTGGGTTGGGGTGTGTAGGGCATGGTGCTATGTCGCTACGTGATATGGTGTTTAGGGTTCAGGGTCTCAGGCTTACTCCTTTCAGGTTCATGCACCGAAGTCCCTGTTGGGCTTGCTTCATCATCAATGCTAGCAAGGTGTTCTTAAGACCATTGCAAGCGGGATGACTGTAGTTAAGAACACTGGTTGCTTGATCTTTTCGTCCTTACAGCATCTGGCTGCTGGCTGCAAAGCGGCATAAACATCCTACTACTACTACTACTACTACTACTACTACTGCTACTACTACTACTACTACATGTGACAGTGACGGAGGACTTGTGCATGCTAAGCCTGCTAAACATAGTTTCAATAGATCTATCGTATGCAAACGAGTTTGTCTTAGGTGCAAAGGATCGGATCCTTCTTCCTGGCCCCTAAGAAGTACTCACAAATCAAACCATGGTTGCTTCGCTGATGGGAATTGGAGCTGCAGGGTAACGGAGGCCTTCTCGGCCACAGCGTCGTAGCGCGATGTTGGGACCAACATGACAAAAAGGCCTTGCTCTTTGTCGCTGAGTCCTTGAACCTGCAGCTGATTGCTGGACTACAATCTACACCATTCGAGGAGTTTGCGTGCTTTCCCGCAGCTATCGGCGTCTAACACAGATTGTGCACAGCAGGGCGTCATAACATGTGGCCAAAACCTGGAGTCTTGGCAACTGTCTGTGCAGCCCGGACCCGTACCATGATCTAACGTGCCCAAAAAAACGGCAGAGACATGTTGATGACTCGAACGCATTGTGAAGCCGACAAATCACTTGAGCAACCTTCCTCAGGGAAATGAAATCCCTCGTCTCCACTTGTCACCTGGAAGAGAGTCTCCACCACGCACCGGCATGCCAGCACCTGGAAACTTGTGATCAGGTGTTGGCACATCCATGCATACTTACTTACATACCATTCCACGACATTGCATTCCATTACATTCCAGTCCATCACATCACGTCATATCACATCACATCACACCACATCAGATAACACATCACATTTCACATCATAACCATCATACAAGTGTCGGCGTGCATGTGTGGTGAACCTCAACAGTTCAGATCCCAAGGCCTGCCCCTGCAAGTCACCCTCAATGACCACGATTTGGTCGCTGAGGGACTCCGGGACGTCCTGCAGCTTTCTGGCTGTCAATCTGTCATCTTGCGGTCTTGATCCCGTCTTGGTGCTGTCGGTGCTTAGGTTCCAGACGCAGCCTTCAGAGGTTGTGGGTCTTGTTTCAAGGTGAAGGGTTGGGGGTCTACCGCCGCTAAAATTGCCCATCACTCCAACAGGGTGATACGGATTTGAACTAGCCGAGATTCCATGCGGTACTGCACATGGCTCTACTACGACACAGGAGCTGGTCAGTACAAGCTTCGATTCCGTTACGTTGGGGGACGTTTCTAGAGAACAGCAACCGTCGGAAGTTAGGCTGGAGCACATGCTACCAGATCGTGTATGTCGGTTGCGCATGGCCTCTACGCAGTGTTGCTACAGAGCCGTGTGAGCCACCGAACCTCTTCATCCAAGACGGAGATCTGCGCCCCGGTCTTTTGCAGAACCTCTGCAGCACCCTCGCCGTCAAAGCCTCGGTCAGTTCGACAAAAACTTCAATTCTGTTAGACCGTACACGGCGAGAGACATGGAGAAATAAGGGAAAAGAAAGCTGTGGGCAGCACCAATCAACAGGTCGACAGCATGGCTCGGGGCTAAGCACCTGTTGGAACAGTGCCCGGTTTCCCTCCCAACCGCTGACCTTCAGACTGTTCGGAGCTTTTGTAAACGAGCCAGCGCCACCTGCACACTGTCGCTGTGCTCCTGCAGGTGCAGAGATGCATATGGGGTCCATCCACTGGCATAAGGCCCAGCTTCAAGTTGCTAGCTCCTCCGTGGAGAGTGAAGGTTGGATCCAGCTGCAGGCTCTGGCGAAGAGATCTCCTGCACCAAGACTGGTTGTTTTACCCCAGACAGTACAGGGTTAGGGTTTAGGGTTTAGGGTAGTGCCTCGCCCTCAACCCCTGAGCCTTCTGAAGATTCTGAAGCACTTTCGCTTCTCCTCGACAGCCCTGCTGGAGGCATCGCGTCTGGGCGAGGCCTCGGCTTATGGGAGCTCTCTTTCACAGTCCATGCTGTTACATTCATCTACAAGTATCTTTATAATATCACAAAGGTACGATTAATAGTTTCGGACTGTCCACATGTCTGCAGCATGTATTCCACGGAACCCGTGCGCTTCACATCATTGCAAATGTTCTTGTGTCCATGCTCAAACATGATTAAAAAGTAAAACACTAGGCCTTGCAATCTCGCACTGTATTTTGCTACGTCGTAGCGGCCTTTGGCTCCAACACTGTCCTGCCCCGGTCCGGCCTCCTCCGCCTCGTCCGGCTCGTCCGGCTCGGCCAGCTCGTCGGGAGCAAGCCTTAGGCTTGCAGGTGTCGGACTTGGGGTTGCCGGCAAGCTTGATTCCTTCATGGGAAGCGACAGTTTCCTGTGTCATCCTGGTGCGCTTTCTGTTTGTCCTGGCGGTGATAAGCAACCTCACAGTTTTAGGAGAAGCTGTTCGCGACGCCCTTGCAACATACAAGGTGGCGGCATGTCTGTGTAAGGGCGACATGTGACAACCTAGTGGCTATACTGTTATACTTGTGCTTCGTGCGTCTGATTTTGTGATGCTTTGTTCAAACTCAGCACCCTGCTGCTCTTCAGCAGGCTCCATCGCCTCTTTGCCCTGACAGACGGAGCAACGTTTGTGCTCGAGGCATCATGCATGCTACTGACATGATCTGACATGTCAGCAGACCGCCAGCACTCTGCACTTTGCATGCAGAGGCAAGCCAGAACCACGTGCAAGCCACAGAACGACAGCGCAGCTGCGCGCCTCCGCCGCCTCCGCCTCTCCTCCCTGGTTCTCCTTTGGATCCTCGGGCTCGTCGAGCTCCGACTCCTCTTTTGCAGGAGGCCCTGCAAGGCATGGCCCTCCCAGCTCGTCGTCGGGCTGTCTCTGCTCCGGCTCCGGCTGCACGTCCAGGTCCAGAATTCCAAGCTCGGGTTCTGTGCCTTCGGCTCTCACGGCCGGTTCTGCGTAGGGCGGCTGCTCGGCTTGTCTCTCAAGACCTGGGGCATCCGCATCTTCCACGACCTCGCCCTCCTGCACAGAGCCCAAGCTGCACGATGCTGCACGCGTCCCAGCCCACAAGGCGCTCGCTGTCCTCGTTTTCAGGAGCTGCGTCGCTGATTCCTTGCTCCGCCCTCCAAGCCAAGACCTGGCTGGCTTGGACCAAGCAAGCAGAATCTCCAGCCCTTCCAGAGAACATCGAAGAACCCTCCTCCGGCGCCCCCGGCCCCATCCTGCAGAGTTTGGCAGCCCGAATCTTAAAGTCAGCCTGCACGCAGGCACGCAGCCGGGAGGCGGCTGCCACCGTCGCTTCAAGGGTGCCCACCTGGCTGGGGCTTCCGATGCCAGAACGTGCTGATGCACTAGCTGCGTTTCTGCATCAAAGCGAGTGATGGTGGTACTGGGCAAGGCAAAGGGCCAAGGGATCAAGAATCTGCAAGCCAGCAGGGGCAACAATTCGAACTGGCCGGTCTTCGGTTCCAGTGATGGAAGCATCCTGCGAGTTGACATGCGACCCATCATTCACGTACTAAGTTCAGTCATGCTCCGCTAGACCTAGGCTTTTTCAGGTGCTTCAGTCTCTCGAGTTTGGGGATGACCTTTGCGCACCTCGTGCGCAGATCATGCGGGGTTGCGCCTGGACGGAAAGCTCCGCGCCCGAGAGCGCCATGACTTTGTTCAGCGTTCCTTAACCGAACCGAGCGCGTCCATGCGCATCCGTCGAAGGTAAACATCAAAACATCCCAGTCTTTGTCTGCTACTCAGTGCTTCGGAGCGTTCGAGGGTATCCGTGTAAGAGAAAGGCTCTGCTGGAGTTTGCGTGCAAGATGCCATCCTCACTCATGGCCACGGCATGCGCCGTGGGCACCAGCAGAATGAAGACACCTAGGTCTTCGTCAGAGGTCGCCTGTTGCTCTTCGTAGAAGCGCTCTACGATCAGCCGGCAAGCCGCCTGCAAAGTCATGTTTGCACTGGAATCTATTGAGGCTCCTGCACGCGCCTGCTGCACCTGCTGCGCACCATGGATGGTGACAATCCGGTCCGTCAGAGATGCCGGGGTGGTGTCGTCCTGACACAAACCACCAAGAACACCACGAATCCCGCCTGTTTCAATAACACCCTGATAGGCCCTGAGCAGCTCGCATCGGACACCGAAATGTCGGCCCCAGACCTGGCAGGTGTCGGGGCGATGCTCGCGTCAAGATGTATTTTGCGTGAAGCGATCTACGAGGGCGTTTGAACATCTCTGAGTGTCCCACGCTGCCACTATGCGCCCAGCCTGTGGTGCATGCGTGCATGTAGTTTAGAGCGTAGAGGTAGCACATTGAGTGCTCGACGGCCACACCATCTTCTCCCGCGAAGAGTTCGACTATTTCGGCAGGAACCTCAAGCCGCTTGTGCATGCTGCTGCAAGTCACAAATTGCTGTGGCGTGCAGTTGTCGATGCAATGACAGGCTTCGTGATCCTCAATGACAGACTGGCCAACTGAACACATCGCTGACGGCACAACTGCTCCCATTAGCATGACTCGCAGCTACTGTTGATATCACTCTGCATTCGCAGTACTCAGTAACACTGCTCTTGCAATACCAGTACCAATAGGGGCCGCGGCAAGGCACCGAAGCGGCACCGGTTCCGGCATCTTCGCTGAAGTTGCTCATCACGGCGCTCGGGCTCGGACTAAAGGCAGCATCATTTAAACGCAGAAAAGCTTTTGCTATGACTGTTTTCATCAGGTGTTGTCAGTGTGGTGGTGCCTTAAGGCGAAAGTCTGGGAGTTCAGGTTTGGAGTGGTCCTGAGTTTGGGAGTGGTCTTTATGTACCTGCTTGAGTCAGTCGAGGCTATCTCTGATAGACTGGTAGCTGAGAGGATGAGAAGCCTAGAAGTTCCAATCAAGATACTCGCTCTGTGTGTGTGTGTCTGTCTCAGCGCATCTCCGCGTACTGCTCTTGCTCCGCACGGTGATCTAGAGTGGGACCAAGGAGCTCGTGGGGAGGCATCATGACAGGCATCGGGCATGGCAAGAAAACCCTGCTTAACCAAACTCTCCCGTGCTGAGGTATGTTGCCTTTTTGCGAGTTGCAAGCGGACTGCTAAAGCAGATGGCATGCTTGTTGAAGTCTCTGGGACCCGGAGGGTTGAACCGGCAGGGTAAGCAGCTAAGCCATTTCGAACGGCCGCTGAAAAGCGACACAGAACTAATGTCGCGGGAAGTCGACACTAGGGAACCGCATGGTAAAGCCATTCAAGGACCACAGTCGTTGAAGTGCCAGCTGTATGCTGCAGGACGCTGCGTTTTGAAGCTGGTCGTGTAATGACAGATGGCATCCGGGTTGTTGCTGGGACAACAAGGGTCGCACCAGGAGTCTTCTGGTGTCACCCAGGTTTGCCTGCTTCCAGCAGACCTCTTGAATCACGTGAACAACCCTGATTCGGATTCTTGAAGCTTCTGGTCGGATTCCTGCACATGTCCATACTGCACCTCCCATCTGTCGGGAATTTTCGCTGACTGGGGCGATGGGAGCCTTCGTCCTGGGCCATGGCGCAGCACATCTGCACAGCTGGGAATCGTAGAGACGAAGTTGCACTTGGACTTCCAAGCTGCATGGAGGCTATCTCCTCGCCACGAACCTCCTGAGCCTGGCCGGCACCAGCAAGGAGATTCTCCACAGCCAACGTGGAGCACATCGCAGGATGCGCGAGAACTATCTGCTTTGTCACGGGCTGAGGCAGCACGAAAGAACCGAAAGGTCCGACTCTTCGTGCTTTGGGTAAGTGAAGCACCCTGCATGCCACTGCACGACCAGCTTGTGCTCTGCACCTTCGTCATTGCTCCAACAGGAACCTGCGGCGACAGGTGCTCGTCAAGCATGGACGGTGGAAAGAAGGATTTAACTCTTCATGCAGTTTATCGGAACAACTCCGACGCACGATGCTCGATCGGAGAGTTCCTCAAACGGTCCTCCCTCTTTTGGGGATTGTAGTCGGGTGTCTGCATAGGTCTGTATGTTATGTCAAAGTGTCCCTAATTACCCTGGTTGAACCACATGGACATGAGCACAAGAAACTATAACGAATCAATCCATGCAGTCCTGTAAGCTTCTAGATCAACAGCTACCACACAGCTATAATGTCGTTCAAGCCTCCATGCCATTCCGTGTGCTAAAGCGATGCCTCGCAATGCAGCAACTTCTGACGACCTCCCAAAGCCGGAGCTTACCTGGCCCAGTGTCAGCTTGGCATTGCATACTCTGGAATGGTGCTCCAGAACATTCATGCCGCATGCTGTACGTGCTGTCGGGAAATTTAGGTCAGCTCGCCTCGGCACACTCAGAGGTTGTCATTCCTCACTCGGCTCACTGCCCCGGCTTCATACCGAAGCTGACTGCTCTGAAGCACATCAACAATCATTCAAGCATGCACTCATGAGAAACTGGCAACACCTTCAAACCAAATTCACAGCACAAGCCTGGAGATGTCCACATCATGACCTCGCCGAGTCCAGGAGGTCTCGCTCCCGCTCTTTACCCCTTCCTCCCTCCTTGCCCTATCACAAACTTGACAGCTGCGCGAAACTCTTTCAGCGAAGGTGGTCCTAGATTGGAGGCCGGCTGGAATCCGACACTCCATCCAGCTGATTTCTTGGCTACACCCTCTCGAAAATCAGCCGCGCCGCATCATGTTGCGGGGCGGTTCGGTCTATGTACGGCCGAGCGAGAATGGACACGAAAATGCAATCTGAAGCGTATCGCCTCAACAAAGCAAGTGTCCCGGCCACGCTCGTCTTGCACACCGATTCATGCTCGACGCATCACTGCAGCTACGGCAGTTGCTGTCGAAAGTTTTGTCGGCTATTCTAGCACGTTTGTCGATTATAGGTGCAGACTCCAGGCAAGTGACAAGCTGAGTTGTGGGAAAGCATGATGTAGACCAGCGGACGACAGTGATGGTCAAGCGAGGCATCACACGCTGGATGCCCAAACAAGAAGTGATTTCAAGCGACGATAGCTGGGATATCGCTCAAGCAGAGCATTATCCTCTGCTTCCGCATAGGACACATTGCTGCGGACTACGAGTAGCGCACCGTCCGCAGGAGGGCGCTTAAAGGATTTAGGCAATCTTGTGCAGAAGCTGGCTACTCTCAAAAGGAGGTCCAGCACACCCGCTGCTTGCAGCAAAGCTTTGGAATCCTAAAGACTGAAGCTGCCACTCGCTGTAAAACACCTCAGGCAGCGATTCTTTGATCTCTTGCCTTGCCTACGCTCCATCATGCTTCAGAACACCGATTGAAGTCCGCTTCCGACAGAGCATCCCCTGGCAGAGTCTCATTTTTGCTATCCGCTCCCATGCGTTGTCATTTGCAGCATTCAGGACTGTTGCTTTATCTCTTCAAAATGTTGTAATTTGTAGCAGTAGCACATCTTGTGTTTCCCAGCCTGGCAGTTTTTGGAGTCCGTTGGAGTAGCAGCGTTTCTGGTTGTTTGGTAGACAAGCTGGCTGAATACTCCCGAGTTGATCATAAAGCGAAGACAATATTCATGCTTCCCTTCGTTATGGTGCGTGTTCGCTCCACTCTGGACGAGGTGCTCGGTTCTTCCATATTTCAACTGCACATCGTACGACTCATACAAAGAACACATTCAGCGTCAAGTCTGATGCTTTCGCGCTTTCGACCTTGCTGAATCGTGCTCCCGCGTTTCTCTCTCTCTCTTTCTTTCTTTCTGCAGGGCATAGGGGTCGCATGTTTGCGACCCTCAGGCCTTTGGCCCGCCCCCCCACCCTTTGTTTTATGGAGTGGGAGGCATTGGGGTCGTAATGACTCTCTCTCTCTCTCTCTCTCTCTCTCTCTCTGACATAACGTTGATTTCACCCCCCCCCCCTCCTGAGTTGCTCGTAAAGGGAGAGGAGTGTTTCGCTTTTGGACCTGCCTGGCTTTGTCCGTTTTCGGTAATCTCAGCCCGCCCCGCGTGCAGTTGTTAGCCTTGCTTGGAAGACAGGCTTGGGTTTGCTTTCTGCTTTGTTTTAAGAGTTTCAGCCATAGCGAAGACGAGGACCAGCGTTGGCCCGAGGAGCAGAGGATAGCATGCCGTATTTTTAAGCAAAACACGACTGTATGCATCAAGGAAATTGTAGGGAAATTGTAGGAAGTCGCGGTACCCGAACACGGCGTTCCCCGGCCTTAGGGGTTGCCGTCACCGGAGAGCAGGGTGTCGATGGCCGCGTCCAAGCGGCCCTCGTGCTGGGCCAAGGCCCTGAGGCAAGCAGCCTGAGCAGATCTGAGCAGGCACCGCACGCCGGAAACTTCTTCGGCAAAAGGGAGCCCCATGTAGCTGCTGATAGTCTCACATAGTCTCACAGCCCACCTCGTTCGTGAAGCCCATGGCAGAGAGCTGCGTCAGTTGCGACGCAAACCGCGCTCTCCGAAGCCTCGGAGCCGTTCTGGACTCACAAGCTATTCATGTGCCAAGCTATCCTGATAGAAAGAAAGTGTACCGTGTTTGTCACGAGACGCGGCCAATTCTTAGAGAACCCGGGCTCTTTCGTCGGATGCGGAGTAAACAGCCACCCTCTCGGGATCCGGCTCCGGGGGTTGCGTGGCTGTTTGTGCCAAGGGCGCTCCCGGTGCTCCCGCACCGTAGCCGCCTGAACGACTCGGGCAGCGTGGAGAGACAAGCATTGACAATGGCAGGGATGACATGCTGAGCTTGGAAAGGTGATGATGGTTAGGTGAGGACGATGCCCCGGACGACAATGTCGATCAGCTGACGATGCGTGCCATCCTTGTTGCTCATGCCTTTTATAGACTTCTGATGGGTAAGCCAACTGCAGTACTCCGGCCACTGGTGCAGACGTCCAAAATCATGCATGTAGAGTTACTCCCCACCCAGAATTCAGGAATGGAGGCTCAAGCATGAAGACGCAATACAGATGCAAATATGCCTTGGCAGCAAACATTTAGCTCGAGTTCGTCGGCTTCCATCCAGGGAGGGGTGACTGGCTGTATTCCGGGGAGTTGCAGAACCGGAAGTATCACGACATGTCTGCACTGCTGCGGCTGCTGCTGCTGCTGCTGCTGATGCTATCGGTCTATTGTAAGAATTAGCATGATTAGCCTTCCTGCTGCGTCTTCTACGGATCAGGGATTATGATCTGTGGCTAGGGCTCGGACCCCCGGCAAATGGGTTCATGGCCGGATTCATCATCATGGACATCAGAGCAGGATTGCTCATCCTCGGTGCTGAATCTTGTCTTATCTGGTTTGGGCATTGGCAATGCTCTCGCGGACATGCGATCATTGGATCATGCTTGTCTTAAGACGGACTCACGTTTGCCCTGTTACTCGTCTGTGCAAGAGTGAACAGCTGTACTTAGCCCAGGCGTCCCCGAAGCAGCTTGTCACCAGCATGACAAAAACTGCTCAGCGTTACGAGGCTTGAAGCCCAAACTCCAACCTACTCGCTGGGTCCGGACGAGCGACTGCGAACCTTACTCAGTTTTTCCCATGACAGTAGTGCAAAAACTAATTCCCCAAAATTGCTCTCCGACATGCAAGTCCGGAAAATCAGTGCAAGGCAGCACTGGGAACGCATGGATTTTGGGCTGTTCTCGACCTGACTTCGCTGCAGAAGCTGCGGGAAATGCGATACAAACTTACGGATTGTCCATCTGGACGTATCTCGGTGCACACTGCTGCATCTGACAGCCCACCGCATACAGAACAAGCAAGCCTGTGAAGCACAGATTCGGCCGGGCATCATCTGCTGCATCATGTTCGCGGGAGCTCCGGCAGTGCCCGCTCCCGGCCCCGTCGCGCCGGCCGTTCCCGGAGCGGTCGCGCCAGCTGTCGGTGCTGCTGGGCTGGTCATGCCACCAGGAGCCCCTGACCCGGCCAGGCCACCCATGCCCATGCCACCCAGGGCGCCCATGCCACCCAAGCCACCCAAACCCCCAAAGCCGCCCAGGCCACCGAGGCCACCCATGCCACCAAGACCACCCATGGCACCGAGGCCACCCGGTGCACCGCCTAAGGCGCCTGGCGCACCGCCTAAGGCGCCCGGCGCACCTAAGGCGCCCAAACCCGCCATGGCGCCTGCCGGGTTGGCGGCTGCAGCTGGCCTCGGAAAAAAACCACGAAGAGGCTCACAACGGCTGTCAGTTTTTCGCGTCCGGGTTTCCGGGCGCCGGGGTAGCCGCCGGGGTGTTCGCGGCCGGCGTCGGGCCCCACGGGTTGGGCAGCGCCTGCCCGCACATCCCACAGCGAACCCCCTTGCAACCTGTCAGCGCCGGGATCGGCCTCACTGCTGGGTCCGGAGCTGGTGTCCTGCGAGTAGTCGACCCTCGGTCGCCAAACGCAAGAACCGCGACGGCGGCAACATCTCGGAGGTTGCTGGAGGTACTTGACGTTCTCGGCTCGCGGCGCTGTCGCGTTCCCGCCGCTGGCGCTGCTGCCTCCTGGAATGAGCGGTGGGGGCGAGGTCTGCATGGTATGCAGGTACATATGGTACAGGGGCGCGCGTGGTCGCTGGCCTCCCGACATGGCCTCAAAGAGCGGGTCCGCAAACTCCTCGTGAGCTCGCACCTGCGCCCAAACAGAACCAGAACGAGAGAGCAACCGCGGCGGAAGCCCCCCCCCCCCGGCCAGCGCGTTGTGACCACCCGGCATGGCATCGAGCTGGCCCAAGGCGCGATCTGCATTCCTGGACACTGTATAGGATCGCTCCCTGTTCACCCCCACTCGTGTGTGGGCAGTCCTGGTCATTTCTCGCATCAGCGACGGATTGGCAACCATGCGCATGGACTGCTGGAGCAACTGCACGGGCGTGGGCACATGCAATTGAAAGGTCTTGAGCTGGCGCTCGCAACGACCGTCTGTGCCTCCGGATCCTCCAGCATCCTGGCGATCCTCAGCATTACTTTCGTCACTGTACAGGGAAGCCAGCTCCCGGATGCTCCCGGCTGCTCCCGGTCGCGTCTGTTTAGCCTGGGCTCTCCGGTCGCTGCTCCATGAGCTCGTTGAGCTGCGGGTTCATGCGAACCATCGTCCTGCAGCCGCGGTGAGGCAGGGGAATTCCGGGCCAGGCGGTTTTCCGGAGCCTCAAAACCTCCGGGTTGCTCATCATCTGCTGAACCATGGGCGAGTTCATCAGCTGCTGCCTCGGCCGACAGGATGCTTGGCACACCCCTTTCACTGCACACAGCCCATCATCAGCCCCCAGCATCATCTCTGGATTCTGCATCATCTGCTGTTGAGTCTGCGCCTCGGCACGCACTGACGCTCGAGAAGGGCGCAAGGCGCAACCCTCGACGCAACATCTGCGAAGAAACGTGACCTCCTTCCGCGGCGCTTGGGAGCTCTGGCCTTCTGGAGTCTGAGCTATCGGCCATCATCTGGGAGAAGGGATCGCCTGCTTCCAACCAAGGCTTCAGAGCAACCCAGACTGCAACTCCGTTCTTGACAGACCTCATACTTCATGCCAGGCATCCAAAGATGTCAGTTCATGCGGGATGCGCGGCCGAAACCCACGGTCCTTACTCTGAAGTTTAGGACTCCGAACCACGAGCTGGGGTGCAGAATACCTCCAATAGGTGCCAAGTACAGCATACAGCATGCAAGTGGGCTTGTCATGCCCCACCGAACCTGTGACATACCCTTGTCGCACACGTTGTGTGACAAACCGTTGTCTTGCGGCTGGAGTGTATACAACGAAGCCAGTATGCCTTGCTACAAGCCTTGCGCAGAGTTGCAAAACAATAATGACTCGTTACGAAAACTTGTGGAACCCGGCCCTGCCAGTGTGTCAACATACCATAATGTACCTGTAGTTCGGACACACATGTAAACCAAATACCTGTGTGAGTTGAATGATCAACACAATCATAGTTGCCAGTTTTGAGGTCCTAAACAAGTATCAAAACATCATTAAAGTGCTCGGTGAATGTGGCGGAGACTTAGAACTACTCCCAAATAGCCAACTGCAACCAAAACCTCCAGGGAACGATCAGCCGCAGTCTATCTGCAGATTGCGGCGGCCGCACCTGAGTTGGCCTGCGGCGTGGGTGCCGCGCCCATCATCTGCGCCATGGGGTTCGCCGGAGCCTGGGCGGGATCTGTGGTTTGGCCTTGGAAACCGTTGCTAGGGTGTCGGGGCGGAATTGGAACTGAAGCCCCCGGCCAACGACTGGCTGGCGACTGGGGGGGCTTCCCTTTGCCTCGGCAGCTCGGGGCATTTTGCAGGTGAGGGCCGCCAGCGTCACGCAGCGCAAGCATGCCGTCTCGGGTCAAGAGCGGCGACGGCGCAGGGCGTAGCGACGACATCTCCGAGGGCCACGCGGATTGTTCAGACAGTGCACCACGACTCCGTCTTTCGGCTCGTAAGACCCGACGGTCTGGGTGTCCTGCACGGTGCAGCAGCATGGAGCAGCCCTGCGGCCCCCTGCGGCCCTGCGGTGTGGTGATTCCTGGCCTGCCAGATGCGGCCGATGCACACCAGCCGAATGTTCTTCGCTGGGATGTTGACTTGTGCGGAAACCTCGCATGCCCCGCAAAAAGATACGTCTCAAGTCTCCGCTCTGTTGCCATGCATCCAGCCTTCTCTTTCAGCTCCTCTACGGTAGCTGTGGTGTCAATGCTGACCTGAAACTCGCCCGCATTGGCGCCAGCAGGCGCTTTGGTAGCGACGGCTGCACTCCTGCAATTGCCAAGTCGTGCAGCCTGGCCTGGACGGGCTTGATCGTCAGATTGACAGAGGCCATGCCTGGAGAAAGAGACGGCCCATCTTTGCCCCACCCACATGATCCCCCATATTCCACACTTCCGCCCGGCTTCTGAGGCAGGGGCCCCGCGGGCGGCAAAGAAATCGAATTGAAAGGAGAGGCTGGAAGCGAACAAGCTGCGACATGCACCAACGATTCCCCTCACCAGCGAGTCAGACTCCTACAACACAGAAAAACATCAACCCACTGCAGAGGTATGAACAAGGCAGAGAGCGGCAGACAAGGCTGCGATTCTGTGTGCGCACTGAAACTCTGAGAGCCATGCGCCGCGCTATGCCGCGCTTCGGCTGTCCGACCAGCCACCATCTGAGCTCCTACCACCTGGGCAAGTGAGACCCGAAGCAGGCACGTGCGTATGCATGCCATTGCGTGCCTGCACAGAGGCGACCCCCACCTCGCCGCCACCGGCAGCTGCTCCCTAACTTCTTCGCCTGTGCGACAATGTGAACCACTCCGTCTACTGATGTCTGGTCGCTCTTGGATCCCGAGCCTCACAGAAATTCAGCTCCAGGCACAGCGCGGCACAGCCGCGCGACACTCTGCTCACCACCGTCTCGCGCACTCTCGACATACGTGAATCAGCTGGTCGCTCTCGAGACGGACATGCCGAAGCTGACACAGCTTTGACTTCTCCCCAGTCTCGGCCCTTTGCATGGTCAACCCTCGCCGGTCATCTTCTGGCTGAAGCCTTCGGAACCGTGAGCACGAAGTACGAAACCTGAGCTGATGTATGATTTGGCACAAGCTGAGTGCCACGGTGCTCGCACAGAGAACGAGCACCGTGGCACTCAGCTTGTGCCAAGCGCTGCTCGTCATCGGAAGGTCACGACTTTCACTCGAGAAGTGCATTGCCTAAAGCCATCGCTCCAGACCCGCCCCCATTCATCGATTCAGCTATTTTCATGTTGGACTTGCCCATAGCGATGCCTACACATCGACGCCAGCCGGCAAGTTCGTGTTTGACACTGCTATGCTCAAAACTATTCTGTTGCCGAGCAGGGGGAGCCCTGCAGGCGCAGTCGGAAGGGTCGGTAAGAATGCAAGCGTCGTAGTCAAAATATCCCCAAACCTGATCATGCAGCTGCCTATATGTGACTATCAATGCAATTCCTGGGTCCTCTTTCCAATCATGACACTTCCACACTGCAGTGTTGCAGTCCGACGCAAGGCTAGATGATGCTAGATGTGATTCGCCGGCCCTGCAGCCGCACACTTCGGCAAGCGTTGGCTTCTGTATGGCAAG